TCTTCTTTTGTTAGATTGTCAGGATGTTTCTTATCCCAATCTATTTTTTTAAGGTCAGTGTGTACCAGGTCTAAAAAAAGACTAGTCCATTTGTTTTCACTTAGATTGGGCATTTTTTGTGACTTCATCTTTAATCTAGTTTTCCTTTTCCGCTTATCAGATTTTGATGATGCAGAGATGATATACACAATTTATAAAAAAAAAACAGCCTGCGGGATATGATTAAAACATGCTATTCTGTGTATTCCGAGCACAGCCAAAGGGGAGAGGGCTACTGCCTGTACATGCAGAGATCCTGAGAGAGCTTATTATTACAGGCAGCGGAAACAATCCAGCGGCATGGCCGACTGCAGCCCACTGCACATGGAAGAACAGCAGTAGTGCACAGAATGAGAAAGTGTGTGGCAGAGCCCAGGAAAAATGAAAAAATGTCCCTTGGTATTGCTGAGGCCCCTGGGGAGAGCAAGGTGCCTGGTATGTGTTAGGTGAGCCTGTACATAGAGTTACTATTGCCATGGTGCCCCAATGATATTGTGTGTGCCTCAAAAGGATGTGGAGATCTTACAAGAAACACAGCATTGGGGGTCAGTCAAGTGTTTAACAATTGCAGCCAACTCTTCTGCGAAGAGTGAGCCTAAGAAGAAGGTGGGGCTGAAGCCTGTAAGTGAGGTCTCATCTGATACCCCTTCAAGATATTACAGATGGCAAAAGTAGTCCTTGACCTATGGTGTCTATTTAAGTTACACAACAGCCCTCCACAACTCTGGCGCACAATAGAACTTGCCATATCGAAATTGCTATGACAAATATCTGCCCTTGTGGGAGTTTAAGGATTTAGAGATTGGGACTTTGGAACAGAGAAATCTCTACAATAGATACCTGAAGATCAAGTTGCCATTTTACCTCTTAGTAGTCAAAACTGTAGGAACCTTTGACATCCTAGCCATTGTGTGTTCCTGGCCCCCAGATGCATTTAATATCTATTTAAATACTAAATATAGAATAATTTACATTGCCAATGTAGAGATCTCTTTACAAATGAGTACCCAGTCATAACCAAAAAAGTAGAGTATCTGGCTGCTCGTCCCTAAATGAATACATGTGCCAGAAGACCCCCCAGTGGGACTTTATTGCAGCAATGAAAGATCATACACATAACCAAAAAGACATGGTAAAAAAATTATCAGTTTTATTGCATACACATTTTTTTGTATAAAATACATAGTTTATAAAGAAAACATTGCTCCAACAGTGTTCTTACAAGAAGACTCTTTGTACAAGGTCAAAGACCACACAGAAGAGAGAAAAAGTTACCCCGACGAGTTTCGATCATTCCACATAGGAAAATCATGTCTAAAGGGATGCAGTCCCTGCCACTTTTCTCATTAGAACCCTGCAAGTTCAGCAGCTGAAAATCACTCCCATACAGATTCACTCTGAAAATGGGCATAGACCATGGGGTTGATTTACTAAAACTGAAGAGTGCAAATACCGGTGCAGTTCTACATAGAAACCAATCAGCTTCCAGGTTGTATTGCCAAAGCTTAATGGAACAAGCCAAAATTAGAAGCTGATTGGCTATTGCACCAGATTTTACACTCTATAGTTTTCGTAAATCAACCATAAAGTTTGTTAAAATCCCTTCAATGTACATTGGTCACCCAGAGGGGAATGCTTTTTTTTCTCAAAAAAAAACTGGAGTTTCTCAAATAAGATATTATTTTTTATTTTCTGTTTCAATATTTTTTTATTGTTTTGAGAGTAGAACATAGAAATAGGTGTACAGCAATTGCCCAATAGAGCCTCAATGGCCGTACTGTACAAACTCATATCGCAGGCGAGGCTCACAGATACAAAAATATCTTATACAACAATGATATAGACAGAGATTAAATCAAATCCCAGGGTGCTGAAGCTCAAAAGTTACAATCCTCTATATTAGGCACTAAAAAAACAATATATTATACAATATATCTGGAACTTGCAGTAAGGCATCAAGCCATTAGAAGCCCAAGCCGTCAAAAAGATATAGAAGAATGAGAAAAAGGGAAAAAGAAAAGGTAGAAAAGATCAAAGAAAGAAATAAGAGAGAATAGGATAGAAGCCACCCACGTGACTCACCCCACCAAACCTATACAACGATCATAGAGCAAAGTCAGGACTCAGCTTGCAGGTAACCAATCCAGGGACTTCAGACCCTCTCAAACTTGGCAGAGGTATCTTGCAGTATACTGACCATTTTCTCATTAATCATGATCCAGGAAAGTTTGCATTTCATCAACGCCAAGTCCACCACTGGGCCCTTCCGGGCAGAAGCAATCACAATTTTATCTGCCAGGAACATTAAATAAATTAGGGTCTGAGCGGATCTGGAGAACCAATGACAGACTCATTAAGCAGTGCAGTTCTAGGGTTCTTAATAACATTAATCGTGGTCACCATGAAAATCAGGGAGTGAACTTGTATCCAATACTTCTAACCTTAGGGCACGTCCACCAAATATGGAACATCGTTCCCGATTGTCCACATCCTTGGAAACAGAGTGAAGAAGAGCCAGGATACATCTTTGATAATCGTTGTGTAACTAGATACCAGGAGAACCTTATAGCCTGCACAAGGGAAACATTCATGATACCTTTGTGTATTCTGAGGGACCATTCCAATCATCCTCCTCTATCTCCTCACCCATATCCCTCTCCCAGGCAAACATATACAGTAGTCTACCCGAATTAGAAACAAACAACTTAAACAGACTTGAAATGCCCCCTTCTGAACCTTGCCTCATAGACATCTGCTTTCAAAAGCTGTTTGTGTGGTGACATCAATGGTATTTCTTTGTAAGGAGCGAATGAAGTGTAGGATTTGCTGCAGATGAAAGTGTTCAGCTGCAGGCATCCCAAGCTGTTGTACAAAATGAGAAGCAGGGTATAGCCCCCTATGACCCAGAAAGTGTCCCAACCGATACAATTTACGTGGCCGCAAACCAGGGGAAACTCCGAGTTTCCAAATATAGGTGCCACAGGGGAATTAAGAAAATGGAGAACCGCCTGTTTGTTGGCCAAATCCCAGACGTGCAAGGAGTGGAACAGCGTGGGGCAATGGACTGCCTTCCTTTGCTTAGGGGAGATCCACATCAAAAGGTCAATAGGAAGAGGAGCACAAGCCTGAGCTTCCAGCACTATCCAATCCAGTCGATAAAGAGTGGCATAAATTTGCGACAATTGAGTAATCTGAGCTGCCCAATAATATTTTCTAAGATCCAGAACTTCCAACCCCCCATAATCTTGTGAAGCATATAATGTTCAACGTCGAAATCTATGGCTCATAGCTCCCCAAATGAAATGAATCAATTTGTTCTGGAATCTATGAAGGTCAGCTGCTGGAACAACTATGGATAGGGTGCGAAAAAAATTAAGTATTTTAGTTAAAACTACCATCTTAACTGCCGCGATCCTACCCATTCAAGACAGAGATGCAAAAGATTACCACTGTTTAAAGTCCCTCAACAAATGTGACCATAAATGTGAATAATTTGCCTTGTATAGTGTTGCTATAGAATAGGTGAGCTTAATTCCTAAATATGGCAAATAATTAATCTGCTACACAACGGTAAAGCGAATCTTAAGGCTCTGAACGGTATTGTCAGGAATGGACTGGCCAGCAATATTGGGACTCACCTGCCTTATGAGCTGCAGTACCAGGGCTGGCCAGCGGGTGCTCCCAGCAATCAGAGACTCAACCTTGCAGCCAGTCAAACACCTGGAACTAATTATACTGGTGTATTTAAGGGACATTCAGGCCTGCAGACTCTGCCTTGGTGTTGTGTTTCTCCTGGGCCCTGTTTCCTGTTCCTGTTCCTGTCTGATTCTCTGCTGACCCTGCTCTGATCCCTGGCTTGTCTGACCATTCTCCTGCTCCTGATCCCTGGCTTGTCTGACCATTCTCCTCTGCCTGACCCTCTGTACCACGCTGCCCGCTACCTGCTGAACCTGGCTTGTGACCCCGACCATTCTCCGCTTGCTCCCCCTGTACCTACCTGCCCGATTGATATTGACCCGGCCTGCCTGACGACGCTTGCATTGTATGTACTGTTATCTGTGGGTGGTTTGGTTTGTTTGCACTGTGTTATGTTTTAGTATTGCACTGCGTTTATGTTTGTATTGTTAGTGTTAATAAATTACATTGTTTATAACATATCTGAAGTCTGCGTTTCCCCGCGTCAGTCACACACCTCTGGTCACACTCGGGAGCCCTGACATTACACCAAGGCCAATCCTGACCAGAAGTGGCTGCACAGGGAAGCCATCTTGGTTTGTTGATGGGAAGGATGGATCTGGATGAGGTTGCGTATTTATATCTGCTAGTGTTTGATGACAGGGAGTATGCTTATCAAACTCTGAAGGAGTATACCCGGGATGAACTGCTAGAATGTATACGGCTCGCTCATGTTCTAGTAGATCAGGGCACAGAGTTCTCTGAGGTGCAGCCATTGATTGAGGTTTGTGCTGAGTTGGTTTCATCTGGTACCCCCGAATGCAGGGATGAATTTTTGCCACCATTTAGTGCAGACCAGGCCAGACGACTCGGTGCCCGCAGTCTTGCCAGACGACTCGGTGCCCGCAGTCTTGCCAGGCGACTCGGTGCCCGCAGTCTTGCCAGACGACTCGAAGCCCGCTGTTCCGCCAGTTGGCTCGGTGCCCGCAGTCTTGCCAGTTGACTCTGAGCCCACTGTCATGCCTGGTGACTCAGTGCTCGCTGCTCTGCCTGGGGGCCCGAGACCTGTCGCTCCGCCTGGGGGTCCGGCGCCCGCCGCTCCGCCTGGGGGTCCCGGCGCCCGCCGCTCCGCCTGGGGGCCTAAGACCCGCGCTCCGGGGGCCTAAGACCTGTCGCTCCGCCTGGGGGCCTGAGACCTGTCGCTCCGCCTGGGGGCCTGAGACCGCCTCCGCCTGGGGGCCTGAGACCTGTCGCTCCGCCTGGGGGCCTGAGACCTGTCGCTCCGCCTGGGAGCCTGAGACCTGTCGCTCCGCCTGGGGGGTCCGGCGCCCGCCGCTCCGCCTGGGGGCCCGAGACCTGTCGCTCCGCCTGGGGGCCCAAGACCTGTCGCTCTGCCTGGGGGCCCGGCACCCGCCGCCCCGCCTGGGGGCCCGATGCCTGTCGCCCCTCCTGGGGGTCCGATGCCTGTCGCCCCTCCTGGGGGCCCGATGCCTGTCACCCCGCCTGGGGGCCCGATGCCTGTCGCCCCTCCTGGGGGGCCCGGCGCCCGCCGCTCCGCTTGGGGGCCCGATGCCTGTCGCCCCGCCGGGGGGCCCGATGCCTGTCGCCCCACGGGGGGCCCGATGCCTGTCGCCCCACCTGGGGGCCCGATGCCTGTCGCCCCTCCTGGGGGCCCGGTGCCCACCGCTCCGCTTGGGGGCCCGATGCCTGTCGCCCCGCCTGGGGGCCCGATGCCTGTCGCCCCACCTGGGGGCCCGGTGCCTGCTGCTTCACCTGGTAATCTCCTGATGTGCCTCTGCCCGGAGTCCAGCCCGATGTGCCTCTGCCCGGAGTCCAGCCCGATGTGCCTCTGCCCGGAGTCCGGCCCGATGTGCCTCTGCCCGGAGTCCGGCCCGATGTGCCTCTGCCCGGAGTCCGGCCCGATGTGCCTCTGCCCGGAGTCCAGCCCGATGTGCCTCTGCCCGGAGTCCAGCCCGATGTGCCTCTGCCCGGAGTCCAGCCCGATGTGCCTCTTCCGGGAGTCCAGCCCGATGTGCCTCTGCCCGGTGTGCCTCTGCCCGGTGTGCCCCTGCCCGGTGTGCCGCTGCGCGGAGTCCTGCCCGGTGTGCCAGTCTTTGATATCCTGCCAGTTACCAGACCCGGGCGGTGGAACATCTTGCCCAGCTAGGACTGTTTGGATCGTCCTGAGGCCGCTCCTTGAGGGGGGGGGGGTACTGTCAGGAATGGACTGGCCAGCAATATTGGGACTCACCTGCCTTATGAGCTGCAGTACCAGGGCTGGCCAGCGGGTGCTCCCAGCAATCAGAGACTCAACCTTGCAGCCAGTCAAACACCTGGAACTAATTATACTGGTGTATTTAAGGGACATTCAGACCTGCAGACTCTGCCTTGGTGTTGTGTTTCTCCTGGGCCCTGTTTCCTGTTCCTGTCTGATTCTCTGCTGACCCTGCTCTGATCCCTGGCTTGTCTGACCATTCTCCTCTGCCTGACCCTCTGTACCACGCTCTCCGCTACCTGCTGAACCTGGCTTGTGACCCCGACCATTCTCCGCTTGCTCCCCCTGTACCTACCTGCCCGATTGATATTGACCCGGCCTGCCTGACGACGCTTGCATTGTATGTACTGTTATCTGTGGGTGGTTTGGCTTGGTTTGTTTGCACTGTGTTATGTTTTAGTATTGCACTGCGTTTATGTTTGTATTGTTAGTGTTAATAAATTACATTGTTTATAACATATCTGAAGTCTGCGTTTCCCCGCGTCAGTCACACACCTCTGGTCACACTCGGGAGCCCTGACAGGTATCCCCCTGCAGGTTGATGTTGAGGGCCCTCAGACTTCTTCAAGTTTATGGCCAGACCAGAGACACTTTGAAATCAGGCCAGAAGATCAATAAGAGATGGTAGAGAAGTATGTGGGGACGTAAGAAAGAGGAGTATATTGTCAGCATTTGTGTTGTTTGTGCCCACTGTCTATACCCAGGATGTCAGGATGAGTCCTAATGCCTAATGCCAGGGTTTCTATCGCAATAAAAAATAGTAACATAACTACATCCGCTCCCACTGAATGGTAATATTGGAAAGCTTTTCTATGTTTTACTGGTGAGCTCAGACCCTGAGTATTATGAGAAAGAACCATAAGGGGCTTGGGCAGGTTATTTTTTTTTTTTAAATCTGATTTTAGTCATCCCTATTTGTTAGTTTTGGGATGTTTCCAAGTTTAAATTGGGGTTCATGTATAAAAGCAATCTGTGAATGAAATCTTTTCAAGTCAGAGAGGAGTCTAGAACATTTATCCGGGAGATTCAGTCCCCTGGCATTAAGTGTGGGTAAGTTTAGGGACGTTCACCATGCGGATCCTCAGATGGGGTGGGAGTCAAGTGCGGCGCCCCCCAGGGAGGAAGTGGAAAGCCAAGTAGCAAAATAAATAAAAAAATAAATGAGGGTAGTGTCAAGAATGAGGAAAAGAGAGTTAGAGGGGAAAGGTTAGAAGGGAGGAATAGTGGGCAGGTGTAAGGATAGGAATGAGCAAGGTGGGGGAAAGGTAGGGAAATGGAGAGGGCAAACTAACACTTTAAATACCAATGCGGTGCCGCACTCCACTATATGCAAAACAAACAAACAAATAAGAAGGCAAATAAATTGAAAAAAAAATCTTCCAACAAATATTCAACTGTCCACACAAAGTTCATGGTTATCTATAGCCACTTGTAATGTAAAGATGCGGTGCTCCTCAATTCACCTCTTGTGATATACTCAAACCAACATTTGTGCACCTCCACCAGTTTTGCTCTCACCTGGTGTATATGACCAAACCGTTAAGTGAGGTCATATAAATCATGTATCCCTTTATTTTGGACTGTGATGAGATGGGATTACTATCCAATGGGTTTGGCTCTCCTTCTGTGCATGAAAAAGGATCTTCATGGTTGGAACACCACATATTACTTTAATGAAGATACAGGTCTGCCTGATCTCGTGGTCACTGTGAATGGCTGTCAAACTCATCACATGGATTATTACTAGAGACTAAAGACATGCACCACAAAAAATTTGTTTAGTTTCAGATTTATTCATTAACTTAATAATTTTGTTTAATAATATTCATTATGTTAGAATGATTCATTTTCAGAATTCGTTTTGAATATTCAGATTTGTTTAGTATATTTGGATTAGTTTCGTATATTTGTATTTTCGTAAGTTATATCAGAAGATTGGCTATATTTGTTTTAACATGTTAATTCATTATTCAGGAGATTACTTATTCAATGATATTGACTGGAGTCATGTGCATCCAAAAAAACAAATTGAATGAAATTAATTTATGTCATGATTTGCAAATTCTGCCCACTTCAATGCAACCCGAACACAATAGGCAGGAATGATCTTATTTTCATTTTTATACCTACAGCATTTGTTGCAATGTGGTTCCATTTCATATGTAGTGCATTTTTTTTTATAATAATGAAAAATGTTAATGCTAAATAAAAGGAAATTGATCCGAATCAATTTGGATCATTCATTATGTCATTACGTTATTATGGATGTTTCAAATGTTAACAAAAGGCCCAAACTATCGCATCATGTCATCTGAATGAAACAAACGAATATGAATGAACTGTTTCAATATATTTTATTTCAGATTTGTTGAAAGTCATTGCTATTGTGACTTGAAGATTTGTATACATCCTAAGAAGCTCTGAATAACAAACATTTTGTCTGAATTTCAATTTGTAAGGAAATGAATCGCATATGTCTACTAGAGACCAATCTCTGTCCTTGGAGTGGCCAGGGAGCACTCTCTCAGGACAGAACTTTCAGCTGCCGTGGACAAATATGTGTGGCATTTGGGCTTTAAAGCCCACCCTCTTTGCTGCTGCACATATAAGTTAGGTAAGTGACAAGAGGTTAACCTTAAATTTAAAACTAAAGGCATAACCATTTTTTGTAGTTTTGGATAGAATAAGATGGATTAGAACATCTAGTAGCTTTTTATTGCTGTCTGTGTCCCCATTAAGGAGATTCACCCTCTGTTTGTCCTGTTTACCATTATCATTGAAAGTGAAAGTAAAGAAAATCCCACATTTTGGGTTGTCCCTGGAAGGGGAGATCTTTGAATGGGGACACTAGTTCTGGTGACCTGGGGTCTCCAAAGAATTCCCTTAATTTGCAAAGATTTCATCTCACCTCCTGTTTGGCTATGGGACAGAAAGTAAAAAGAAATCTCTGAAATGGAGCACAGATGGCAAACAAAAAAAAATCTGACAGGGTTAAAACCCTCCCTTACTCTATCCAAAATGAAAAAAAAGATTTTGCCTATAGTACTACTTCAATTCTTGCAGTAAATGAGATGACAGACATACACAAACAGCTCTGAGAGATGTTATGGAACCTTAGAACAACATCCATAATAAAATACATAGTCAAATCTACTAACATCTTCTTTATTTGAATATAGATCCATCTACCATTAGTTTCCCATTACCATTTGTATCGTACATTTCACTTAGCAATGTTCACTCAATAAAAACTGGATATTTCTCTCATTCTTATAAAGACAGATAAGAAAAGTGACTGGAACGATGGATAATTCTACAATAGGAGAATGTGTCTTTCCTTCTACAGTACAGTCTTGGTTTTCAGTTGCCACAACTGGAATTTTAATTTTGGCTGGACTATCACTACAATCATTTATGGTGGCTGTGAATGTTATTGACTGGCTGAAAGGAAGATCAATGACGGCTGCTGACCAAATTATCACCTCTATTGCAGTAACAAGAATCATCTATCATTTTTCCTGCCCATTACATTTTTTTTATATATAATTGCACTGCAAAGTTAGGTGCAACATTTTGTTATTGAATTTATTCACTGGCATATCAGCTGGCTTTTCCAGCATCTGGTTATCGGCCCTCCTCTCTACCTTTTTTGCACCAAGATCTCCACTTTTAACAATAGCTTTTTTGCATGTAAAGACCATCATATCTCAGAGAGTCATTTTTCTTATATTTACTTCTGTGCTGTTTGGATATGGGTATGCTTTTACATTGGTTTTGTTAATTTCTTATGCAGGGTGCAAGAACTTAGATTACTCTGAACTTATACATGGTAACCATAATTGTCAGCTTCTTTTAAATAGTTTATGGAATATTTTTCCAGTTCTGATCTTCTTTGTGTCATCACTCCTTCTTGTTATTTACTTGGGTTTCCATATTAGACAAATGAAGAATCATAGAAACATAATGAGCAGCACAGACACCAATCATAAGATGGTAATGTTTACAGCTGTGTCTTTCCTGAACTGTGCTTTGTGTGGAACAGTAAATCTAACTGAACGATATGGCACAAATTTATTTGGTATGTGTGTGGATGTATTGTTTTTGGAACATTTTTTCCGATATTACATTCTGTTTCCTTAATTTATGTTACTACCAAGCTAAGAAAATGCATTTTTCAGTGTTGTCTGTTGTGGAATGGACTACTTGCTCTGGAGAGAAAACCATCTGAACCCAACCCAAGAGAGCTTATGGAGGTGACCTATTTGTGATTAACAAAAGGCATTTACCTTATAACTGGTCCTTTATCAATTCCTTTGACAATTTTAATTCTGTCCCCCGTGTCCCTACTTCCTGCCTGTTTCTTTTTTGGACTGACTTCCAGAGAACCAACTTCATCTATCACTTTGGATTGGTTTGTTTTCCACCTATTTTGACCCTTGGACTTTGTTTTAGCTCTTTTCTCTCTGTCTCCTTCCAACCCCACTCTGGTGAGATCTTCAGTCCCACTGCCAGATCACATCCATGGCTTCCTCTGGTGTGCTTCAGGACTATGTTCCAGCTTGCTCCAGTGTGCTTCATGGTACTGCCTCTTCTCTACAGCTTGTCTTCCATCACTACCACCAGGAAACTCCATTGCTCACCTGCCCCAGCTATTGAGGTTGCTTCCACATTTTAGAGCATGGTGAGCCTGGAGTTCATGATCTGGTAAAAGCACATAGCAAATCCCATCTCCCCCATCAGGAGCTCTGGTGAAGACTGGCTAGTGCTTAGACTCTGTGCCCAGGGGAGTCCTGAGGTCCTGAGTCACCTGCTCACACGTGAGTTTCACCTCCATTTATTCTGCAGTTTGCATAATGGCTCCACAAGTTCCTGGGCAAATGTGACACTTGACTTACAAGATAAATAAATAATTTCACACATTTGTGTGTAGTGACTATTAGGTACTTGGGAGCTGAATATTGTGCACCCACCAAGATCAACAGGTGTGGCTGGCATGAAATTACAGTACACTTTCTTTTATACTGGTAATTTGTCAATTGAATTCTGCAATGTCAATAAAAAATATTGCATTTGGTAACAGAGAAATAGAAAAGAAAGAGAAATATGATACGATAATGGAACATTAAATATGAGAAACTTTTTAATACAACAAATAAGGTGTACACTGAAGAAAAACATGGAATTTAAAGTATAACTAAAGACAAAACCTTTTTTTAGTTTTGAACAGTGTGGAGAGGAATTACAGTCCCTGTCAGGCAGGGCTGGTGCTACCACTAGGTTAACTAGGCAGACGCCTAGGGCGCACTGCTGCCTAGGGTGCAGTGATGGCCAAGGCCGCCGATAGGGCAGTACAACCAGCCTGCTGTAACAATAATTACTGTGAATTTTCTCTGGGCTCCATCACAAGAGTTCACCAGTTCACTAGAGGGGCCCAGGAGGCGAGGAGCAGAGAGAGACTCTTTTTTTAATTTTGAGTGCAGGCGGCTAAAGCTGTGCTGCATTTTGCAATGCTGAACAGTGGCGGCTGGCCACTGTTGCTCACAGCCTTTCACTGGTGGTGTGATCATCCCTTCCTCCGCTGAGTAGGGTGGAAGGCGAGGCTGTAGCCCAGTGGAAGGAGGTGGCTGAGGGGACAGGCAGCAATGAGAACCTGGTACCCAGGCAGGCTCACAATTTCAGTTTTCTGAGGCACAGACAGAGATATAGCCATACACTGTATACAGGGAGACATACAGCACCTTCTATACTTTGTGATCATCATCAGGATAATGATGGCGATCACATAAGCACAGTGAAATGCTTCCTGTTTGTTCTTATTTACACTTGTGTTTGAGGGACATTAAAAAGGTGCACCTCAGCCACACTTTTACCATCCCCCAACCACTCCCCATTATGCTGCAAAGGCACTACCACAATAGTATGGCAATAGTGTCCGGGTGTTGTGTAAACACCCCCCGCTGCTGTACTACAGTGGCAGTGCCTTTGCAGCATATTGGGGAGTGGTTGGGGAACAGTAAAAATGTGGCACATTTTGAATGTCCCTTAAACACAAGTGTAAATAAGAGCTAACAGGAAACATCTCATTGAGTGTGTGTAAATCTGACAGGCTGACTGTCAGGTGGAAATGATCCAATAGCTGTGCAGCCTCTAGATCACTTCCATACCCCCTATATGCCTTGCCATGCTTCCCAGGCTCCAAGCTACCATCAGCGGACCTGGGACTTGCATAGTGGGCCACCAATGGAAGGGAGGGAGATCAGTGAACACCTGTTCCATGATCTCCGCTTCCTGTTAATGACCCGGAAGCAATATATAAAAAGTCTCTTCTGGGTTCTGGTATCACTGTCTCCAGACAGGATTGAATGATATTAGCTGGAAACAAAGCTGTGTCTTGCAAACTTCAGCCAATCCGTGAAGAAAAGCTATCCAGCCAATGAGGTGCCGTGCAAGATGTGCTCTGCGCAGCATAATTTCCTCCACATCGAGCTAACATTGGCAAGGATTAGCTCCCTGTGGAGTTTTATTTGTTTTTTTTTGGGGTGAGGGGGTGTATGCAAATAGCTTGTCTTGCCTAGGGCACAAAGTAGTTTAGCACCAGACCAGCCCTGCTTGCAGGTTTTTATTGTTCTCTGTGCCCCCAGTATGGAGTTTTGCTCTGTCTACATTGTATGTAATATTGATGGTGATATATATATATATATATATATATATATATATATGGATTTAATGGTGAAACACTGGGTTATTGGAAACCTGCTTTTGATCATAATAGGCCTACAGACTAAGTTATAGCAATATAGCATCCCAGCAAAAAATCCACACGCCCTAGCAAACCTCCTTCTCTTCTTACATTCATATATTCATCTGATCTCAGTTGCAGCAGCATCCTCCCGTGCACTCTCATGCAATCTTTCCAGGCTTCCCCTTGGCTGTGTCACATAACAAGTCAATGCCTGTCAGGGCTCCAGGGTGTGACCAGAGGTATGTGACTGACGCAGGGAAACGCAGGCTTCAGATATGTTATAAATATAATTTATTAACACTAACAATACAAACATAAACGCAGTGCAATACTAAAACATAACACAGTGCAAACAAACCAAACCAACCACCCACAGATAACAGTACATACAATGCAAGCGTCGTCAGGCAGGCCGGGATTATCAACAGGAGGTCAGAACGTATGGGGTTAAGCAGGAGAATGGTCAGACAATGCCAGGGATCAGGAGCAGGAGAATGGTCAGACAATGCCAGGGATCAGGAGCAGGAGAATGGTCAGACAAAGCCAGGGATCTGGCAGGAGAATGGTCAGACAAAGCCAGGGATCAGGAGCAGGAGAATGGTCAGACAAGCCAGGGATCAGGAGCAGGAGAATGGTCAGACAAAGCCAGGGATCAGAGCAGGGTCAGCAACGAATCAGACAGGAACAGAAACAGGGAGCAGGAACAGGATACAGGGCCCAGGAGAAACACACACCAAGGCAGAGTCTGCAGGTCTGGCCATCCCTTAAATACACCAGTATAATCAGTTCCAGGTGTTTGACTGGCTGCAAGGTTGAGTCTCTGATTGCTGGGAGCACCCGCTGGCCAGCCCTGGTACTGCAGCTCATAAGGCAGGTGAGTCCCACCATTGCTGGCCAGTCCATTCCTGACAGTACCCCCCCCTCAAGGAGCGGCCTCGGGACGCTCCAAACAGTCCTAGCTGGGCAAAATGTCCCACCGCCCGGGTCTGGTAACTGGCGGGATATCAAAGACTGGCACACCGGGCAGGACTCCGGGCAGCGGCACACCAGGCAGGACTCCGGGCAGCGGCACACCGGAGGCAGGGGCACACCGGGCAGAGGCACATCGGGCAGAGGCACATCGGGCAGAGGCACACCGGGCAGAGGCACATCGGGCTGAACTCCGGGCAGAAGCACATTGGGCTGGACATCCGGGCTGCACATCGGGCTGGACTCCGGGCAGAGGCACATCGGGCTGGACTCCGGGCAGAGGCACATCGGGCTGGACTCCGGGCAGAGGCACATCGGGCTGGACTCCGGGCAGAGGCACATCGGGCTGGACTCCGGGCAGAGGCACATCGGGCTGGACTCCGGGCAGAGGCACATCGGGCTGGACTCCGGGCAGAGGCACATCGGATTACCAGGCGAAGCAGCAGGCAGCGGGCCACCAGGCGGAGCAGCAGGCACCGGGCCACCAGGCGGAGCAGCAGGCACCGGGCCACCAGGCGGAGCAGCAGGCACCGGGCCCCCGGGCGGGGTGACAGGCACCGGGCCCCGGGCGGGGCGACAGGCACCGGGCCCCCAGGCGGGGCGACAGGCATCGGGCCCCCAGGCGGAGCGGGGGCGGTGCCCCCAGGAGGGGCGACAGGCATCGGGCCCCCAGGCGGGGCGGACGGGCATCGGGCCCCCCAGGGGCACAGGCATCGGGCCCCCAGGCGGGCGCCAGGACCCCCAGGCGGAGCGACAGGTCATCGGGCCCCCAGGCGGAGCGGCGGGACGCCGGACCCCCAGGCGGAGCGACAGGTCTCGGGCCCCCAGGCGGAGCGGCGGGCGCCGGACCCCCAGGCGGAGCGACAGGTCTCGGGCCCCCAGGCGGAGCGGCGGGCGCCGGACACCCCCAGGCGGAGCGACAGGTCTCGGGCCCCCAGGCGGAGCGGCGGGCGCCGGACCCCCAGGCGGCGACAGGTCTCGGGCCCTCCAGGCGGAGCGACAGGTTCGGGCCCCCAGGCGGAGCGGCGGGGGCGCCGGACCCCCAGGTGGAGCGACAGGTCTCGGGCCCCAGGCGGAGCGCGGGTCTCAGGCCCCCAGGCGGAGCGACAGGTCTCGGGCCCCCAGGCGGGCGGCGGGCGCCGGACCCCCAGGCGGAGCGACAGGTCTCGGGCCCCCAGGCGGAGCGGCGGGCGCCAGGACCCCCAGCGGTCTCGGGCCCCCAGGCGGAGCGGCGGGGCGCCCCCCAGGGGGAGCGACAGGTCTCGGGCCCCCAGGCGGAGCGACAGGTCTCAGGCCCCCAGGTGGAGCGACAGGTCTCAGGCCCCCAGGCGGAGCGGCGGGCGCCGGACCCCCAGGCGGAGCGGCAGCGCTCGGCCCCCAGGCGGAGCGGCGGGCGCGGGACCCCCAGGCGGAGCGACAGGTCTCAGGCCCCCAGGCGGAGTGACAGGTCTCAGGCCCCCAGGCGGAGCGACAGGTCTCAGGCCCCAGGCGGAGCGACAGGTCTCAGGCCCCCAGGCGGAGCGACAGGTCTCAGGCCCCCAGGCGGAGCGGCGGGCGCCGGACCCCCAGGCGGAGCGGCGGGCGCCGGACCCCTAGGCGGAGCGACAGGTCTCGGGCCCCCAGGCGGAGCGGCGGGCACCAAGTCACCAGGCACGACAGTGGGCTCCGAGTCAACTGGCATGACCGCTGGCACTGAGTCAGACATTGGATCGTCTGGCTGGACAGCGGGCATCGGGTCACCAGGCATCAGGTCATTTGGCTTGACAGCGGGCACCGCGTCATCTGGCAAGGCAGTGGGCTCCGAGTCAACTGGTATGACCGCGGGCACTGGGTCAGACATTGGATCGTCTGGCTGGACAGCGGGCATCGGGTCACCAGGCATCAGGTCATTTGGCTCAACAGCGGGCACCGCGTCATCTGGCAAGACAGTGGGCTCTGAGTCAATTGGCACGACAGCGGGCACCGGGTCATCAGGTACCGGATTGTCTGGCTCGACAGCGGGCATCGGGTCACCAGGTATGACAGCGGGCACTGGGTCACCAGGCATCAGGTCATTTGGCTCGCCAGCGGGCACCACGTCATCTGGCAAGGCAGTGGGCACCGAGTCACCAGGTACGACAGCGGGCTCTGAGTCAATTGGCACGACAGCGGGCACCGGATCAGGTACCGGATCATCTGTATCAACAGCGGTCATCGAGTCAACTGGCCTAATAGGATCATCAGGCTGGATCAGTTCATCATGCTGGGTAGAGGCATCAGGCTGAGTGGAGGCATCAGGCTGAGTAGAGGCATCAGGCTGAGTAGAGGCATCAGGCTGAAGAGGGGCATCAGGCTGGGTACAGGCATCAGGCTGGGTACAGACCTCAGGCTGAAGTGCGGGTGCCAAGGCACCAGGCTGAACCACGGAAGGCAGGTTCTCAGACGGCAGGCACACCGGTTTGGATACTGGCAGGATGGTACTGGTTGGAAAGAATTTTCGCTTTTTTCTGGTTTTAACTACTGGAGCACTGCAAGTAAACGCAGGTCTGCAAACGAATGGAGCAGCTGGAGACAGAGAAGAGCTGGAGGATGGAACAGAGGAGGGAGCAGTTGCTACAGAGGGCTTTTTTACAGGGTTAAAGGCAGGATAGGTGCAGCGAGTGGGAACAGGGTACTGACATGCGGTAGATAGCAGGGCAGGAGGAGCTGTTGGGAATGCAGGAATAGAGCTTTGAGGAAATAGATTAGAAGCAGGACTGGGTTTTTGTAGGCTGACTGAGGCTGGGTGCAACAAATCTGTCCATGTCTGCAGTATGGGTTGAACAAAGCTGAGCTTACACAAAGCCTGTCTGACCAAAGACTGCACTGCGTTTATACAATCTCTTAGTGTCTGTGGTGAACATGCAGCATAATGCTCCAAGAAGCAATCCACATCATCCTCTAATAACCATACCAGGGACTCTACCTGGTCGGCACTAAATGGTGGCAAAAATTCATCCCTGCATTCGGGGGTACCAGATGAAACCAACTCCGCACAAATCTGAATCAATGGCTGCACCTCAGAGAATTCTGTGCCCTGATCTACTAGAACATGAGCGAGCCGTATACATTCTAGCAGTTCATCCCGGGGATACTCCTTCAGAGTTTGATAAGCATACTCTCTGTCATCAAACACTAGCAGATATAAATACACAACCTCATCAAGATCCATCCTTCCCATCAACAAACCAAGATGGCTTCCCTGTGCAGCCACTTCTGGTCAGGATTGGCCTTGGTGTAATGTCAGGGCTCCAGGGTGTGACCAGAGGTATGTGACTGACGCAGGGAAACGCAGGCTTCAGATATGTTATAAATATAATTTATTAACACTAACAATACAAACATAAACGCAGTGCAATACTAAAACATAACACAGTGCAAACAAACAAAACCAACCACCCACAGATAACAGTACATACAATGCAAGCGTCGTCAGGCAGGCCGGGATTATCAACAGGAGGTCAGAACGTATGGGGTTAAGCAGGAGAATGATCACTCCAATCTCAGGTGAATAGTGATACTAGGTACCAATATCCTATATACTCCAGCCAAAGTAGATGCTAAATACCATTACCCTCTTATGGTATATTCAGGCATATACTGTTAGATAGGAAAGCCATTCCTCCATCACTCTTATCCCGGGGTATTCCTCATATGGACAAAGAGAAGGCTCAATCAGGCAGATTTCATAAAAAGATATAAATTTATTCCACACTTACATGTAAAAATCACTTTATCCAGCTCTCTGTACTGCACATTTCAATCTCTGGTTGAAAAAACGATTGTTTCCAACCGACAAAATGGCCGCGGCGACACTTCCGGTTAGCGTGCGTGCGTGATGACGTGGAGTGACGTCATCACGCACGCTAACCGGAAGTGTCGCCGCGGCCATTTTGTCGGTTGGAAACAATCGTTTTTTCAACCAGAGATTGAAATGTGCAGTACAGAGAGCTGGATAAAGTGATTTTTACATGTAAGTGTGGAATAAATTTATATCTTTTTATGAAATCTGCCTGATTGAGCCTTCTCTTTGTCCATATGAGGAATACCCCGGGATAAGAGTGATGGAGGAATGGCTTTCCTATCTAACAGTATATGCCTGAATATACCATAAGAGGGTAATGGTATTTAGCATCTACTTTGGCTGGAGTATATACAGTTGTGGCCAAAATTATTCAACCCCCACTGAAATTGAGTGTTTTGGCCAGTTTGACATTGCTTTGATCATTCAGTCATCTTGCTTACATTTACATTAAAGAGGCACTTGTAGGTCAGACAAATATAAACATAACAGTTATAATGAAATAACCACAAATGTCTTTTCTGTGCTCACAGCATTATCAGTTTTATTCAACCCCCAAGTGACATTCAATCTTAGTACTTAGTACAGCATCCTTTTACAGTTATAACAGCTTTTAAACGTGAAGCATAGCTTGACACAAGTGTCTTGCAGCGATCTACGGGTATCTTCGCCCATTCTTCATGGGCAAAGGCCTCCAGTTCAGTCACATTCTTAGGCTTGCGCACTGCAACTGCTTTCTTTAAGTCCCACCAGAGGTTCTCAATCGGATTTAAGTCTGGTGACTGCGATGGCCACTCCAAAATGTTCCAGCCTTTCCTCTGCAACCATGCTCTAGTGGACTTGGAGGTATGCTTGGGATCATTGTCCTGTTGAAAGGTCCAACGTCTCCCAAGCCTCAGGGTGTGTGACGGACTGCATCACGTTTCCATCCAATATCTCCTGGTACTGAAGAGAATTCATGGTACCTTGCACACGCTGAAGCTTCCCTGTACCTGCAGAAGCAAAACAGCCCCAAAGCATGATTGACCCTCCACCATGCTTCACAGTAGGCAAGGTGTTCTTTTCATCATAGGCCTTGTTCTTCCTCCTCCAAACATAGCGTTGATCCATGGGCCCAAACAGTTCTAATTTTGTTTCATCAGTCCACAGAACACTATCCCACAACTTTTGTGGTTTGTCCACATGGCTTTTGGCATACTGCAGTCGACTCTTCTTATTCTTTGGAGACAGCAAGGGGGTACGCCTGGGAGTTCTGGCACGGAGGCCTTCATTACGCAGTGTGCGTCTTATTGTCTGGGCTGAAACTTCTGTACCCACATCTGACAAATCTTTTCTCAGTTCCTCAGCAGTCACACGGGGGCTTCTCTCCACTCTACGCTTCAGGTAGCGCACAGCAGTCGAAGTCAGCATCTTCTTTCTGCCACGACCAGGTAGCGTTTCAACAGTGCCCTTTGCCTTGAATTTGCGAATGATGCTTCCTAAGGTGTCTCTTGGTATGTTTAACATCTTTGCAATCTTCTTATAGCCATTGCCCTTCCTGTGAAGAGAAATCACCTCTTCTCTTGTCTTCCTGGACCATTCTCTTGCCTTCACCATGTTTGTAACCACACCAGTAAATGTCTAGAAGGAGCTGAGTATCACAGTCATTTTAAAGCTGCCTAATTGGTGCTTATTATGCTTGATTGCTGCTCGGTGACATCCACAGGTGTTTTCAATACCTGATGGAAAGCACCTGTATGAACCTCTGTTCTTCAGAGTGGTAGTCTTTAAGGGGTTGAATAATTGTGGCAATGAAGAAACCACATAAGAACCATTTACTACTGTATTACATAAACAATTGATGTCATTTTAGTTGCATTTGGGTAGTTACAACGTCCTTGTAGGATTTGATTCTGAATACAATTCCAAATGTACACTATAGTCCCTAAACCCCTTTACAGCATTGGGGGTTGAATAATTTTGGCCACAACTGTAGGATATTGGTACCTAGTATCACTATTCACCTGAGATTGGAGTGATCACGAGTTCTCACGTTTATTTTGATTTATTGATTTTTCACTATTTTTGGTGTGATTTGAGTTTTGCACAGTGTGAAGCATATATATATGTTTGAGGATATTACACTATGATATATTTTTCTTTTTACTTTTGAGGATAACAAGGCATTTTTGGAGTATCGTCTTGCTTCACTGAACACATAAAGAACGTTTTTGTTTTTCTTGGGATTTTTGGACATTTATTTATTTATATTACATATCTTTTTGGCGATTTGGACACTTATTATTATTATTATTAATTTTTGGTGATTTGGACACTTTTATATACATTTTATTTTATTTTATTTTATTTTTTTTTTTTTATTTTTTTTTTTTTTTAATTTTGATTGGTATATTTGATGATTTTGAATATATATTAGAGGGAGATTTATTATTATTTTAATTCAGATTTGATCATCACCTTTTGGATTATGTGGGTTTATTGAAATTTTGAGATAGATTGGGATTATTGGTAAATTTATCACAAAAAGTACATTTATTAGTTTATTCACTTCCTAGGGAGGAGGTAGTGTTTTGTGGCAGTATAGGAGCTTTTTGATTGATTAAGCAGGAGAATGGTCAGACAAAGCCAGGGATCAGGAGCAGGAGAATGGTCAGACAAAGCCAGGGATCAGGAGCAGGAGAATGGTCAGACAAAGCCAGGGATCAGGAGCAGGAGAATGGTCAGACAAAGCCATGGATCTGGAGCAGGAGAATGGTCAGACAAAGCCAGGGATCAGGAGCAGGAGAATGGTCAGACAAGCCAAGGATCAGGAGCAGGAGAATGGTCAGACAAAGCCAGGGATCAGAGCAGGGTCAGCAACGAATCAGACAGGAACAGGAACAGGGAGCAGGAACAGGATACAGGGCCCAGGAGAAACACACACCAAGACAGAGTCTGCAGGTCTGGCCATCCCTTAAATACACCAGTATAATCAGTTCCAGGTGTTTGACTGGCTGCAAGGTTGAGTCTCTGATTGCTGGGAGCACCCGCTGGCCAGCCCTGGTACTGCAGCTCATAAGGCAGGTAAGTCCCACCATTGCTGGCCAGTCCATTCCTGACAATGCCAATTGATGAGATTGTATTTGAGGTATGCAAAGGACTACTTGGTACATATCACTATGCCAAAAAAACCCTAGTGAAGCAAGCAATGGGATCCATGGTTTGGCAGCTCCTTCATGCTACATACATTATATCACAGAATAGAGTACACCCCTCATATTTTTGTAAATATTTTTTATTATATCTTTTCATGTGACAACACTGAAGAAATGACACTTTGCTACAATGTAAAGTAGTGAGTGTACAGCTTGTATAACAGTGTAAATTTGCTGTCCCCTCAAAATAACTCAACACATAGCCATTAATGTCTAAACTGCTGGCAACAAAAGTGAGTACACTCCTAAGTGAAAATGTCCAAATTGGGATCAAAGTGTCAATATTTTGTGTGGCCACCATTATTTTCCAGCACTGCCTTAACCCTCTTGGGCATGGAGTTCACCAGAGCTTCACAGGTTGCCACTGGAGTCCTCTTCCACTCCTCCATGACAACATCACTGAGCTTGTGGATGTTAGAATGTTAGAGCCCTTGCGCTCCTCCACCTTCCATTTGAGGATGCCCCACAGATGCTCAATAGGGTTTAGGTCTGGAGACATGCTTGGCCAGTGCATCACCTTTACCCTCAGCTTCTTTAGCAAGGCAGTGGTAATCTTGGAGGTGTGTTTGGGGTCGTTATCATGTTGGAATATTGCCCTGCGGCCCAGTCTCTGAAGGGGAAGGGATCATGCTCTGCTTCAGTATGTCACAGTACATG